ATCGGCACCGGAGCGGCATCGGGCGGCTTCATGGCGATGGAGCCACGCCCACTTCCTGCAGACCACGCCCATTTCTAACAGACCACGCCCCCTCTCGCATTGCCAACGCCTTCTTTCAGCGCAGACCACGCCCCCTCCGGATTGACCACGCCCCCCGCTGACGCCCCGCCCCCTCTCTGTCTCCGAGGACCCGGGTTCGAATCCCGCTGCCAGAATCACTTCCCCCCCCGTGCTGGAAAAGGTGCGTTTTTATTACAAAAGGCCCCAAACCAAGACTGGGGGGGGGGGAGAGGGGGAGGAAGGGTGGGGGCGTCGTCCCAGCACACCACGCCCCCTCCCCTCCCCCGTCCTCCTCTATGCTATAAAAACAAAGCAGCAGAGATGCGCTGAGATGGGATTATGGGGTACAGCCCCCCACCCCCCCCACCACCACAATCCCACTCAAGCCCTGAGAATGGCACAGCCCATGGCACAATGGCAGCCCCGTAGCAACGGGGCAGAGGTTCACGGCGGGGGGGGCTGCAGGCGGGCCAGCTGCTGGGGGGTGGCGATGGCCCTGAGGGCTCCATTCTCCCTTTCCAGCACCGCCCGCCGCTCGCTCAGCTCCTTGATCTGCTCCCGCAGCAGCTCCACCTCCTCACGCACAGCCAGCAGCAGGTGGCTCTTCACCAGGTCCTGGAAGGGGAAAGGAGCAGCGGGTGGTGGTAAAGAACACTCAGGTCCCCTCCGTGCCCTCCAGACCCCCCCGCCCCCACCCCCCCTTGAGCTCCAGGTCACGGCACTCACCATGGCCTGCTCGATCTTGTTGTCAATGGCGCTGACGCCGCTGCTGGAGCTGTGGGGGGGTGGCAGAACGGAGCTGTTTTGGGGGGTGCATCCCCCCTCCCCCCCTTACAGCCCCGGTGTTTGTGAAGGCCCTACAATAACACAGCATGGGGTGGGGGGTGTTGCAACTTCCGCCCGCCCCCCGCCCTCATTTCCTTCCCCTTGGGGCCCTGAGGATGGGGAAACATCTGCGAAGAGGAAGCCCCGCCCCCAAGCACGTGGGGGAGCCCCACCTCCAAGCGCCTGGCCCAATCACAAACACCTGGGAGCCGGAAGTCCCGCCCACAGACACCTGAGAACCGGAAGTCCAGTCCCGAAATACATGCACGAGCCCCGCCTACAAGCACGCGGCCCGGCCCATAACACCTGGGAACAGGAAGTCCCGCCCCCGTACACCTGGGAACCGGAAGCCCCGCCCGCACACGCATCGGAAGCGGAAGTTCTGCCATAGAACATAGACCCGCCCCCAAACACCCGGGAGCCGAAAGCCTCGCCCCCAAACACCCGGGAGCCGGAAGTCCCGCCCCCACCGGAAGTCCCGCCTACCCGTCTTCGCCGATCCCGGCTCCCGCCAGCCCCAGACGCGCGCTGAGCCCTTCGGTGCCGCCCCCGGGGCGGTGTCCGTGCGGCGGGGGCGGGGGGGGGCGGGGCAGCGCCTGCGGGACACAAACCCATAGCGGGAGGTGGGGACCGGAGGATCGTCACGTCACGTCACGTCACACCGCCGGTCCGCCACCTCCCCCCCCCAGACCCCCCTCCCTCCCCTCACCTCTCGCCCGTCGTGCCCCCAGGAGCGGGGCAGCTGCGCGGGGCCGGGCTGGGCGGGGCGCTGCGGGGCGGAGCCGAGGGACAGCGGCACCCGGACGGACCCCGCCGCCTCCCGCTCGTAGAAATCCCTGCAGATCCACCGGCCGCGCCGCAGCGTTTCACCCGCGGCCGGTAGCCGCACCAGGCGGAACCGGGACGGCCCGGGGGCTCCGGGCTCAGCGTGTTCCGCTTCGGGATCGGAGCCGGCCCCCCCGCCGCGCACGCTGGTAATGGCGAAGCCGCTCCGCTTCCGGCTCATGGCGGCGGGCGCCGCATGGCGGGGCCGGGCGGGGGGCGCGGAGCCGCGGAACGGCGGCGGTGCGGAGCTGCGGTGACATCTGGGCGGCGCCCGGAAGTCCCGCCCCCGCCGCGCCCCCGTGCGAGCCACGCCCCTTTAACCGCCAAGCCACGCCCCCTTCTCCTGGTAGGATGCGCTCGGCGCCGGCCACGCCCCCTCACCCCGATTGGCCGCGTCTCCGTCAGGCCACGCCCTCTGGACGCAGACCACGCCCCTCCTCTCCCGGCGTACAATGGGGCAGCGCGGAGTGGGCGTGGCCATCGCCCCTCCCTGTGGGCGGGGCTTAGCGGGCGCCGCCCCGCCCCCACCGCCGGGGCCTCCCCGGAGCTGCGGCGCCCCCGACCCGGGACCCCCCCGGTCCCCCCCCAGTCGCTCCTCACCCCCCCCTTCAGCCCTGCCCCCCTCTTCGCCATCCCTTCTACATCCCCTCCCCACG